GCCCTGGTCATAGTTTTTGTCCCGTTTTCTTTTGTATTTTGTAGTGGTCACACTTCTTTTTGAGCCCATCAACTTCTTCTTTCAGTTCCAAGACGGTGGTGCACAGAGTAACAACCTCATCGGACCAGGTTGACAAGCCGTCCTCCACCTCTTTTACGCTCTGCTTAAGGTGGTCCAGGTCGGCGCGAAGTAGCATTGTGCCATTAGCCACTTCCGCTCTCACCGCTTGTAGCTCTCCTTTAATAAAAATAAACTCTTCAGCCAAAGCCGCTTTTATTTCCGATTTGATCACAGCTGAGAAATCGGTTTTTATAGCGGCAAGAATGTCAGACTTCAAGGAGAGTGCGTCCACCTCGCCGCTGGAGGGAGAAGTAGGTGCCGAACATCCGGCTTTAGCTGCAGTCTGCTCCGAGGAGGTGTCGAGCCTAACAGCCGCAGAGTCAGAATGTTTGACTTTCCTCAAGTTTGTCGTCATTCTTCTACTCTTCCAGGCAAGAATCACTCAGGGGTCGGGTCCGGACAGACCAAATGCTCAAAACAGCAAGGACATTTAGTAGAGAACCACAAATGGAACCGTCGGAGCGGGAGCCCACGCGACACACGTCTTACTCCTCTTCCGCCATCTTGCCCTCCACATCCATACTAAAATTTTGTATGTATTGAATTATTTTATTTACAATCGGAACTCCCTTTTTAAAAAAAAAAAGTTTAAACGCTGGAGCTCAATACTTGACGTAATTGGTCGAAGCAATTGGCCAACGGGGTTAGACAGACATCGAGTGGTCAACTGGAGCAACTACATGGAAAACTTTAAAATCCAAGCTCTTATTTTGAAGTTTGCAGATAGTTTCCCGTCACAAATCAAATCCGTCATGTACCCAGAATACATCACTTCAGTTTTCCAATAAACAGTTTTAAAATTATTTTATTGATGCTTCTTTAATGAAAAATCTGCAACAAACAAAAGAAAAAGACAAAGAAGCAGCCGAACTAGCAATCCTCAACAACTTTTTAAAGAATCAGCCGAACTAGCAATCCTCAACAACTTTTTAATTTTTACACCAGGAGCTAAAGTTCTGTTTCAGGAAATCACATCCCCAGCAATCGGCGGTTGTGGGATTAAGCTGTAAAAGGGTTCATACACTGCTAGTTGGCAGTGTGCATATATTGTACATGAATTGCTGCCAGCTAGTAAGTGTCAAATTGAACTTGCCCTTTAAAATTAGCTTCCGCTAGTTTTTCTATGGCATAAGCACTTTTGAAGTTGCGGACCTAAATATTCTCATAAGTGCTTTAGAACTTGCGGAGCTAATTTTTGGATTAGTGCTGCCCACCATTGTCTATTAGTTATTAAAGTCTGCTGTGTGACGGTTGTGAGTTTTTGCTTTCTGTTTATCCAACAGAGGCTGATGAGGGACTTRGAGGAGAAGGAGAAAGAGCTGAACAAACTGAAGCTGAAAGCAGATTCTCTCTTGAGCAACAATCATCCTGCTTCAGATAAGATTGAGGTAATGTTTATTAGAGTTCCTCCTTTCTCTAAAACTGCTTGTTTTCTTGGGTTTTTTATTGACTGTGTTCTCCCTCAGGCCTACATGGACACCCTGCAGACCCAGTGGAGCTGGCTTCTCCAGATCACTAAATGCATCCATGTTCATTTGAAGGAGAACTCTGCCTACAGTCAAGTCAGTGGTCCAATCTGAGCTTTGTCTGATAGAAAATCCTGTGTCTTTTCATGTAATCTTACTTTATTTATTGTCTATCATCAGTTTTTCAAGGAGGCGAATGAGACTTACACAAAGCTTCAGAAACAACACGAGACAATCCGAAACAAATTTGTCTGCGACAAAAACACCCCGACGGAAAACCTCACTGAACTCCTGAAAAACCTGGAGGTATAATTCTACTCTGTTACCATTAAGTGCAACACATACCAGAGGTTTTTCCCTGCAGCTGTGTAGATGCACAAGATAAACAAACGCTTTTCTTGGGTGGAATGGCTTCAGATTCTACGCAGGCCTGATGAACTTATTAGAACATTTTTATTGAAATCTGTCGAGCATGTCTGCACATGTCTTGTCGAGTTTGATACATGAACTGATAAGGAAATCGGACTTGTTAAAGTTTCTGTGCAAACTGCTTAGTTATACTCAAAAACTGCTGCTCTTTTTCCAAAACACAGACAGAGCAAAAACGAATCAAGGAGAACAAGAGACAGGTCCAGAGTCTGGTCAGCAAGTCCAAGTCCATTGTCAGRCTGAAACCTCRTAACCCTGAGGAGAAGACCAGCGGCCCCATCATGGTTCAGGCTTTATGTGACTTCAAACAGGACCAGGTGGGACTTGTGATTGTTTATTCTCARTCACACATACAGTACATAAATAGACATAATGACRCTGAGCATGCAGGGAAACATCACCAGTGAAACTCAGTGGCACATTGTGTATTTCAGAAGGGAATATTAAAAGGGAACGAGGGCATTCTGAAGGACAACTCAC